ATCATAAATGTATTCTTAATAAAGTGACTCTCATAGGTATTCTCCTAAAGGGACTCTTCTTATAAGTAAATAAATAAATAAATATCTTTTACTTTAAAAAAAAAAAAATCCTGTGGAGCATACACAGGCAAATTTTCAAGTGACCTGACAACCCCCAAAAAATAACAAATAAAATAAAACAAAAATAAATTAATTAAAATTAAATAGAATTAAATCATAATAGATAAACGCACAAAAACATATTTTAATCTTTTTTTTTTTTTTTTCACTGGTCAATTTAAGGTCTTGTTTCAGACTACTGGAAAGACAACAAAAAGACGTTTAATTATTTATTTTATTGAACTTTATCTATTTGATAAAGATTTAAATTACAATACATATCTTTAAAGGCCTTTTTTTCACTCACTGAGCCAGAAATCGCCCCTTCATTAGCACTTACATACACCAAACTTTACAGTTTTTACAGGTCTTTACAAAATGGTTTGATCATATATCATTCGTCCTGAGTTATATAACACTTAATTCCTAGTGACAGTATTTGCTGATTTATGGAGAGATAAAAAGAGAAACCTTTAACTCTAATATGCCAACATCATGTCACAATAATTTTAAACCTGGCTTTATCCAGTGTTCAGATTTATTTTCTGGAAATGTGTGCAAGTTAGTGCATATTCAATTCGATTGTGCCACATTTGCACATTTTATTATAACATAAAAAAAAAAAGGAATTCAAAACAGTCGTCTCGATGTGCTGTGATTAATCAAGGAGACTTGCCTTAGGAGAAATAAAAAAAATAACAGATAAAAAAAAAATGAATATCAAAAGAAATAGGACAGTTTGCTTTAGGTCTATTCCATGTAGGCCACAATTAGCTTGCAAGCAGCAAATAAAGGATGACTGCACAGCCCAAAGAGGGGTTCAGCAAACAGCACTCGGTTCAAACAAGTGGCCACGTGGCCATTCAATACACAAGGGCATGTTTGAAAACGCGAGTGTAAACTTGAATGGGTCTGCCAAAGTCCAGCTCTCATTCAGCAAGTTACACTCAACGTGACCCAACGCTCCCTGTGCCTCATTTTGGATGAAATGTAGGGGTCAAACTATGAAACTACAGACTATAACCACTAAAGTTACAGCACATTGCGCTACAGCCAGCTCTAAACAATCCTCTTTTAAAGGCACTAAGGTCCAGGTAATTCTAAATGTCCTTGTCGGGGCAAATTTGTAGATGAATCTTTCATCCTCGTAAATAACAGCAATTCACAGGAGAGCTAAACCCAACATGGTGCTAATATCTCTGCAGTGAATATACATCCGGAAAAGCTTTAAATGATGGTGGGTGGAGTTTGTTCGTCTCACACAGGGGAGTCTGTTTTCAGCATGCTGGTAATACGCAGAACTAGGTTGTTTATGCACCATGGCGCCTCATTGGAGAAGCAGTACCCCTCTCTCCCAGTGAATGGAAAGGCACCAGATACCTCCCCTTCGAGTAAATAGATCTTATCAATGAAAATAGTCAGCTCTCCTCCCCGCTGCCTTTTTATGAATGGAAATACCTGGCAAAAACTAGCCACATTCATTTTTACAGCACATGAGGGATATAGAAACTGGATATAGGGCTGTTAGCAGCTGTAAACGTTTAGGCAACAATTTTTTTGTTCTCAGTGGAATTGATTTATCTATGTTTCAGTATAGCCAAGAAACAAGGTTGACAATAACAGTGCCAAAAGACATAGGGAATTCTATGAAATGAACAATCCATACTTGATTTATAGATGTTGTATGGTTCTATAGAATACACTATAGTATACACTATGAAGCAAAAATGAAATAAAATTATATGCAATAGACTCTGACAAGTCTACATTAATACAAATGTATTTCATAGAAGATACATTAAAGGGGTCATATGATGCTTTTTTAAAGATCATTATTTTGTGTATTTGGTGTAACAGAATATGTTGACA